AATAGCAGCTGCTGCTGCTGCTGGCCCAGTGACAACGACTGCGGCCTGAGGCCGCTGCTGGACAGCATCTGAGCGACTGCGACGGACCCCGCTGCTGCAAGAGCCATGGCTGACGAGCGTCTGGTCGAGAGCTGGCTACGGTTCACTGACTCTTGATGTTCGCTGCTGGTCCACGATACTTGGGCAGTTACAACGGCCCGTGAGATTGTGGCCTGTGTGGTGGTGGTGGTGTGATTGTTGTGGGGAGGGTAAATAAATGGGACACCCCACCCCAGGCTCGAAGGGTAGTGTGGTAATCTGTACTCTGGAGATGTGTGATTAAATGCGGTCAAAATTGCTTTTCCATTACTTTCCTGGTGGTTCTGTGCGGTGAGTTGTGGTGCTTCGATTTCTTTAGAAGGTAACTCGGTTGGGATATGCACATCACAACAGCAACGGAGATGTCAAGATTACCTGAGAGGGCGGGATCATGGGAAATCGAGGGCTCAAATGACTGACAGGAGCAATTGAACGCTCACGCCAGGCCGACACGGTAGCGCGGAGACATCGCTGGGCCATTAGACACACGCGGGAAACGAGACGATTCAGCAGTTGGACGGTTCCGATTCGCTCGACTCAACCATGATGGATTTGGGTACGAAGCGCCTCACGGAATTTTGCTGATCGTACTGGGATAGCAACTCGAGTGCCACGTGAGCGATTGGCGATGTCCAGCAAAGCACATCGGATCGAATTATCCACTAGGCTTTGCTCCATATGGGGTCTGGCTGTGTGAGGTGCCACGTGGAGGTGAACACTTTCCCGTTAAAGAAGCTGACATACAGCACACAATTACTATAGCTTTTTTTTTCTTATTCTTTTTTTGGTAATTGATATATACACCAAGTACAGCAGATGTATACAGCAATAACAGTCGTAACTGTGCGTGAGAGGCAGCTACGTGGCTACCCCAGATTGACAACTATGGTGGTCTGTGATTTTTCCTCGGCAGCTGCCAGATGGCAGCAAACGCACTGTTCCACTTCCACTTCTTGCTGCTACTGTCCCTCAGTTTATCTACCAATCTTATCTCCTCTCTTGCGCGCCGAAACGATCCCTTCTTGTCCGTAGCCACCCGCCTCCTTCGTACATCCTCCTTTGCCCGCATGTACACCCTTGCATGCTGCCGGAAAGCCAGCTCAATCCTCCTCAACACCCGTTTCGTCCTGAACCTCCGCCCTCTGAAAGCAGCTTGACAGCGCTCCAACCACACCTGATGGAGTGTGATGGCAATTATTGTCGCTTCTGGAAACGCTGAGCTGGAGCATGGCTTCTGGAAGAGAAGGTCCCCTAGCGACGAAATCGACCTCGAGCTGTTGATCATACGAAGAGCCCGCTTGAGTGTTGTAATCACCGTCTGGACTTTGGGGCAGTCGTAAAGGCAGTGCTCCAAAGTCTCCTCTCCCCCACAGTGCGGACATTTCGGTTGTCCACTCAGAAAAGACAGTCGTTCCCCCACCTGTAGGTTAAGGTTATGCACCCTTAGCAAAATATCCCTTGGCATGCTTGGAGTAGCCAGGGATTCTCTGACCGAGATTGCCCTTTTCCAATCAATCTTCCCGTTCCACCTGCCCGACCACTGTTGCTGCTTCACTGATGCCTTCTGCCCTTTCTTCCACAGCTTTTTCAGCTGCCTCATCGGCACCACCTTCCCCTTCTCAAAGATCGGTAGAAGTGTGAAATCTCTTCCAGGCGGGATGTATCTCATGCGATGAGAGCCAACCGTGCTAGGGTTTGATTGTTCTCTGTAGGAACCGTCTAGCAGCAGAGCCCGCCATGTCTCAGGTGCCGCTTCGAAAGCCTTCAGCGCCAGCCTAGCTGGCCCTTTCCCCCCCAACTCCTTCTCCAGTGACTCCACACCTCTTAGTGTGGGAACTCCTTCCTTGTCATAGCTGATCAAGTGTCCCAGCCTCATCTCCCACAATGGTTTCGCGTCCTTCTGTCCTCCAACCGGTGTGGACCCCCTGAGGAGGATACGCTTGTTAAACACTATCCGCTCTCCCTCCGCAGCTTCTCGAGTAACGATCTCCGGCAGTTCCCCCAGTGGTGACTTCATAAAATTTTCGCACGCGATTTTCCACCGAGCACTACGTCCTTCCCATCGCCGCAGTAGTTTTTCATGTGCGAAAAATGACTCAATGCCCATAGGAAGCTCAGCCGCCCACATCATGATCTCTTTCTTGAGCACGTTCATCTCCGTGATCAGCAGCCCCACCCTCCTTGCCGAGAGGCAAGCAAGGATCATCTCCGGGTCACATACTCCAACTCCCCCATCCTCCCTTGACGTGTGTAGAAGATCCTTACTCAACAACCTGAACACCCTGTCAGCCGTTGCCTTGTTCCCGGATACAAAGTTCTGGAACGTCTTGGAGAGCGCATTCCAGGTTACCGGTGGCGGCGGATATACTTGCGCCTGGAACGCCACCACCGACATAGAGTAGCCGTTCACCACTGCCGCTCTCGCCTTCGTCGGAAGATATTTTTTCTCCCATGTTTTAAGTTTTCCGACCACGCTTGCCCCCGCCTTCTCCCACGTTGGCTGACAACTTCCTGCCGGTGTTACCCAAATCCCCAGCAGTCTCTCTGCCTCATCCGCTCCCGCCCGTCGGAAGCTCTGTGGTCTGCATGAGTGCCTGTGCAGGTTGTCGCCCAGCGGCAGGATGACTGACTTTTCCACATTCGTCTCCAACCCCGAGGTAAGCTTAAACTTCTCCAGTACCTTCTCCGCCTTAATGATTTTCTCCTTCCCCTCCAGAATCAGTGTGGTGTCGTCGGCATACCCGATATACGAGAGACGCTCGTCCGCCTTACTGAGCCCCAGCTTTTTTCGCCACACCTCTTGCGCCAACGGTTCTACTGCGCAGAGGAACAGGTATGGAGCAAGCGGGCATCCCTGCCTTACCCCAGATAGTACTTCCACTCCGTCTCCGAACCATCCGTTTATTAACAGCCGTGTTTGTGTTCCCTTGTGCAGACCTTCGACCCAGCCAACCAGCCGCTCCGGGAAACCCATCTCCCTCAAGATTCTGAAGGTGTAGTCCCTCGACACCGAATCATATGCCTTCTTGAAGTCAACGAGTAACAGAAACCAGTCCTTATTCTTGTTCCGAGCCGCATCAATCACATCGGCGATCAATCCCACTGCGTCCGTGAGTCGTCTCCCCGGCAGGAAACCGTACTGCTCCTCTGAAATCACCTTTCCCAGCACCTTCTTCATCCTGTCAGCAATCACCCTCGCCAGCACTTTGTAAGTGAAGTTTAGAAGAGTTATCGGTCTATAGTTATTCAACTGATCCTTGTCCCCCTTCTTGTGCAGGAGTATCGTAACAGCTTCTTTGACATTGGTGGAGAGTGAAGCAGAGGCCGCGAAATCCTTCGCCATTGCCATAAAGCCTTTACCCAGCAGGTCCCAGTGCGCTTCAAACAGTTCTTTCGGCAACCCATCCTTTCCAGGCGATTTGTTAGCCGCCATCGCTCCGAAGGCTGCCTTCACCTCTTCTTCTGTCCAGTCAGCTGCCAGCTCCTCTGCTTCCCACTTCTCCAGCTTTTTCCCTTTTATCGGCTTCCAGTTCTCCTTAAGACGGCATCTGTCTTCTCCGAAAATACCCGCGAAGAAAGCTGATGCTGCCTCCAAGATCCCTTTAGAGTACGAGACTGCGCCGCTCGCTGTCTGTAACTCCGCGATTTGCGTGCTTTCCTTCCTCGCCTTTACCATTGCTGACAGATGCGAGGACGGCATTTCACCGGTAAGCTCCACCCGTAGTCCCGTCATCAGCTGCACCCGGTCCTTCTTAGCCGCATGGTACTCTTTAAGCTGCACCTCTTTCTCTGCTAACAGCATCGTCGTACGTGAGCAGGTCGGATTTCTCATCGCCTCTTGCCGAAGCTCCGCCACCGTATCAACCAGATGTGAGACCGTGGCTTTAACTCTTTTCCCCTCCTCCTTCATGTACGCGCATAACCCAACACCAAGCCGGGTGAGTAGTAACTCAAAACTGCTGCCATCCGACACCGTCACCTTCTCCACCGTCGCCTCTACGATTCTCCTGACTCCCCTTCTTCGAACCATTGACGCGTGTAGTCTCCACATCCCTGGACCAACGCGGATCTGAGCGTCCGTCCTCAGCGCCACCCTCACTGCAAAACAGTGGTCAGATATGTACTCTTCTGGCATGATGTGTGAAGCTTGGGTTAAATGAGGTAAGAGAGAGTGGGATAGTAGCGCTCGATCTATCCTCGTACTGGCTTTTTTCGCTTGTGAGTAAAAGGTGAACTCCCTTTTCGACGGGTACAGTGTTCTAAAGGCGTCAGATAGCTGAAACTGGCTGCACCCATTATATAGCCTGGCATTCTCCGCTGCTGTTCCAAACTGCGATGACTTATCTAGGAGAGGATCCTCTATTGTGTTCAGGTCTCCCATGATGAGCAGGTGCGACGATGGCTGGATTGAGTCTATTATGGGACCTAAAACGGATCTAAGGAAAGCAGCTCTGGAGGTCGGATCTGCAGGAAAGTAACACGCTAAGATGGTAATGTTAATACCTGGACCAAGGATCTCTGCCTGAATGACTCTACCGGATGGATGGACTACGATGTTGCGGAATCTAAGCGCCGGCTGTCTACATATCACCGCTACCCCACCAGCCTTGGCTTGAGGCGTGGCGGCTGCTACGAAGGTAAACGACGGGTGTGCCCAGAAGGAGTGTGAGGCGTCTAGTCTAGTGTCTGAGAGAACTATAATATCGGCAGCCTTCCTGAACCAGTCTCTAACACGCTGTTGTTTAGTGCCGTCACCTAGGCCGTTGACGTTTAGGCCCGCAAATGTGATGTGGTTTTTCTTACTCATTTAATCACTACTTGCGAACCCCTACGCATCCACAGGGTGAAAAGACATGTACCTCCTACTACTGCAAGAACTACAGCCGCTGTTGCTGCGCATCGACCGATGCTCTCCAACTCCTTCAGAAGCCGTACTCTTTCCGGACAATGGTGAGGTTGGCTTTCTCTAGCGACACACGGGTAGCAGTGCCGAACTTCTCCAGATGCAGCATGTGAGCGGCAGAGGCGACATGATCCGAGGCAGCCATAAAGCTCTTCCCCTTCGCCTTTCCGCATCCGTCTTGAGTACAAACCCACTCCTCCCTGTTGCTTCCAGTCGAGATCAGTGCTATGGCCGGATCTTGCAGGAGAGGAAGGGTAAGCGGGGTGGCTTTCAGGGATTGGGCTGCGAGGTTCAAACAGATCGTCAGCAAGTAATAAGCAAAGCAGGTAAGGATCTGTAAGTACTGGACAGCTGAAGGCATTACCGTTGAGCTTGTGCACTTTCCCGAGCGTCAGATTCCATTTACCCACGTTGTGCTGCCTCTCAACCGTGAAGACGTCATGGTATTTGTCATGATGCTGACCGTCACAAAGAGAGCAGGAGACCGCAGGGTAATGAACCAGGATCTTCTTCGTGTGGTCAGCAGGATCAGGGACCGCATGGATCCAACGACGGCGATCACCAGGATGCGCGTAGACCAAGCCTTCGACGACGTCAGTATCAGCACCGGTAACTGGATGAAGGACACGATGGAAATTGGAGCTCCGTGCGAAAGCAGGACGCTTGGTCGACTTCAGCAGGTAGGTTGACATCTGTTCCACCAGCAGGTCAGGGTCAATCACTGCCGACACTCCCTTGAAGATCACCTCAATCGCCTGAGGATGAAGCGCCTTCTCACGCGCAAAGAGCACGTTCTCCGTGTGTTGCCAGTGAAGCTTAACCAGGTTCCCATTCAACCGCTGATACACCACCTCCTTCCTCATCACTGTTTCCACGTCCATGTCCAGCAGGAAGGAGATCTGTAGGCGGCAGTAACGAACTTTCGCGATATACGATGGCTGCAACACCTGAAACTTAGCCGTGGACAAAGCGTTAACTGACAGTTCAGCGTACCACCCACGCTTCATCAGCATTTTAACGGCATCAATCACGCAAGCGACTTCCTGACTGAGAATGAAGGGAAGTAGTAGAATAGCCGTAGAGCGCAGCCTGGACACATCCTCCTTGTCCGTATCAACCTCCATCTCGTCATCAGTGTCCTCATCTTCGTAGTCTTCCACAGCATCAGATGACTGCGGGCTTGACTGATCCATAGTTGCCTTCTCTTCCACAGACAAGCCTGAGCTTCCAGCGACCGGCTCATTGACGACTGTTGCCTCTTCATTGATCCCTCCATTCGCAGGAACATCATCATTGACGACAGAAACATCATCGTTAGCCGTGACAACAGGGGTGTCAACCACGGTCTTGGAGCGCTGGTTCTTCGGCGGCATGGTGCAATGATGAAAAAAAGGCAGACTGAGGAAGTGCCGAGCGCTGATGATAGCCTCTGAGAAATGAGCTGCCTGGAAACTGAGCACCCCAGTATTAAGTAGTTGTGTGTCTCCGCCTGGATCCGGTTGGAAACGCTCCTTTGAGAAATGATGAGTTCTCGAGGAGCAAACTTCGGGAGTCCCGCGCACAATAATCTGAATAATAGGCTGAGTTGCTGGCGTTGTCGATGTTGTCGTTTTGTAGATTAAAAAGCTGTGTAGATCCTTGTAAAGCGTTCTTGATGCTGCCTGACAAACACCAGGGTCGGACGCCTTGAAACTAGAAGAACCATTGTCAGCAAAAATGACATCGCATCTAGATGTAGAGAAACAGGCGAATCCAGTGGTTACGTTGGTTGTTTGAAAAGACTGCTGTAACGCGGACAATAGATTAGCAGATCGCGATGGAATCCATGGCGGCCTTGGTAGCTCCAGATCCAGATCCATGTGGCTAGGTTTTTGCTAGCTTTTATTATAGCTTTTATTGGCGGACTATAGCTTTTATTATAAGCACGCTCCTTTGCACAAACATTAAGTTTAAGCCACCACCAAATGTATACATTACCGTGCAGACACTTAATATTTGCATACAATTGATTAAGTGGAACTAAACCCGTAATGAAGTATTTGAACGTTTCATAGGCTAAGAAAAAACAAAGAATCTACACGCAAAATAAATTAAAAAAATACCGACAAATATATTAAAGGCCATATTTAAAAACGTTCACTTCTCAAAATGGTTGTGTCTTAAAATATGCCGAATCTGTAATACACCATTGTTTTTTTCTGTTTGTTCCGGCCCACATGCAAGCTGTTTTATGATTTTAATACTTAACCCATACAATGCTCACTTCAGACATATCGAGTCTATCTGCAACCGGTACTCTGCAGCCTGTCACCCTCGCTCCCGCCAAACCGTGGAGCTTTGGCAAATCAGGGACTGTTGTGCGGCAAACTGGCACATAGCGCTTCGGCCAGCCCCTGCTGCACCCAAGCCTGAACACCTAGCGGTGATCAGCCTACGGACTCTGGGGAAATGAATTCAAACAATCCCATCTTGCCCCCCTTGCCATTCAAGCACGAGTATCGCTTCATCATACTCTCCTCTCCTGTCTCCTCAGACCCTCAACCTGTCTTGGTCCTACCTTCGTTCTTAGATTTGCTTTTAGCAGAGGCTGATTTGGCTGTGACATCACCACGGAGAAACTCCTGCTGGCGAGTTCGCAATGGCTCTGTCGCATGATGATAATATAGCTGACCTGATGCCGAATTATTTCAGTCGTGAAGAAGAAATGGACGTTGAGGAATCGATTGACACGAGAGCTCTTGAAGATTATAGAGAAGTACGGTTCTCAAATCTCCTTTCTTATTTCAGATTTCCTTCCTATTGGTCATTTATTTTCAGTGCGATAAATTCACGTGACATTTATTTCCTGCAGGCCCTGGATAGCGACGCTACGATGCGTTCCCGAGACGTATGCTCGCTGAACCAGCATGAGCTTGGTCTTTTAAACAGAAAGTCGCTTAGGATGGGTACGGGGACCTCGCAAGGCCAAAAGAGACCGACTCGGAAATTCGACCTTACATTGTACGTGCAGGAAAAAGTACATAGCATCATTAATGAGAGATCCATTAACTCACATGCCTACCTTTCTCCATGCAGGAAACCGTTGCCGTATGAAGAAGTGGCCAATCGGATGATGGGTGAGAAGCTTTTTCTTGCCAGAACGCACAATCCTTCGACATAAATGCGATGCTATCTTGTAACCGTTGTGAAACGCTACCCTGCAGGCTCTCACGTCGTTTCAGAAAAGCAGCGCTCAAAGATGAAGAGGCACGGAACAGGAAGGTGCGTTCAGAGATTATTTCCGTGACAAGTGTAATCACGTTTTTGTTATCTTTCGTAAATTGAATAAATGTATGTCCTGGTTCAGGGTGAAGAAGCGAAGACCATTTGGTTTAAGAACACCCAATTTTGCCGACGATGAGGAAATTGAAGAGGAGGATGAGGAGATTCATGCTGTTTTTGCAAAGAAGGATCAGCCGTCCGGGTTGGGGGAAGATCAAATCCGTCTTGAGGACATGCTGCAGGAGAAAGCCGAAGTCCGGGCAGGATCGATGGTTTGGAATTCGTTGGTTCTAAACCCAAGTGGACATACGGGAAATTCTCGTGAACTTGCGGAAGCCACCGAGCTCAATTCAGAGGCGCCTGAAAGTGTTACTCATCTGAATGGTTCTGGAGTGAAGAACCTGCATACCGCTTTTGAAGAGAATGGAATTGGACGTGTGGAAGTCAGCGAGTCACCAGTTACAGACGCTACACCAGAGGTCGAGCGTGATGAAGCTGGACGTCAGGCTAATGTGGAGGAGAAAGATCATGGTGCTGAAAGTGATGAGCCGATGTCTGGCTCACCTCAGCCTACGGAAGTTGACTCTGGAGTCAGTGAAGCGATGGAAGGCATGATGGCCGATGGTGTCTCCGGAGCTGAACAAGATGCTGATCAAGACGATGAGGATGACGAGTGCCACGTTGTGGAGATCATGTGTTCAGAACAGATTAGTAAGAAGCCAGGCGTTTCCCCTCTTCCTGCTGTTGTGGAAGATGGACCCACGAATCCGGTATCTGATACCGTCCCTACCACTCCAGTCGCCCAGCAAGCACCAACTGTTGCACCCAAATCCGCACTCAAGTCTGGGCGCAAATCGGCCCGCAAGTCCGTGAGGATTGCTGGTGTGTCTGGTTCACCGGAAGCGTTTGCTGTGCTGCCGTTAACCCCAGAGGTGAGCAACTGTCTGATGGCTCTGTGTCACCTTCAGCGTTCGTTCAGTCAACTAATGCTTTGCCACTCATGCCTGCAGGCTGGTTCCTATCTGAAGAGAAAGAATTCGTCGAAGGTGCACATGCAGTTCCCCTTCTGCTCTGAATTAGGTACTGAACCCCATAAACTAAGAGTACCATCCCTTGTGCCTCTCAGGTTCAGAAGGAAAAGTCAAGGAACTTGCGCAATCGCAGAAGCAGCTTGGCAGGTAAGTGGTTGGACTCTTCAGTTGCTTACCTTGACATGTTTCACCCTCAGGTTTTGCTTTAATGCCTCATCTGCTTCTCCGGCGTTTGTGCAACAGGTGGTGGATTGGTTTGGGATGGCAACATAAGAAAGAGCACGCGATCTCGCATGAAGCCTTTGGAGTGGTGGCGCTTCGAGGTGGTTACCTATGGCCGACCTCACCAGAGTACGTTCTTTTTCCGATGGTTATGCACTTTCTGACAATAACGGGAATTGTTACGTATCGCTCACTTGATGTCATCTGTTGAACATGGGTTTTTTTCCAGGTTTGCCAACTCCAGTGGAAGTGCAAGTTTGTTCTCCGGAGCCTTACTGGCCTGCAGTGCCACCAGGAGGTTTGAAGAAGAGGGTTGGACTTCGTAAGATTGCGTTACCAAGTCTTTGTGACTCAACTGATGCAAGCATTCTGGCCATTGAGTGAGTGAGCAGCCCAGTGGTACACGTCCACCTTCTGCCAGTCGCTGCTATGCAATGTACAGTAGTGATGTGGGTGCAAAAGCAGTCCAGGACGAGTCATCCTGCTCCTGTTGCCACAGCTGACCGTTTGAACACTATTTCTCCAGCATTAGATCCACAGCATTAGATCCTGCATACATAGCTATTCACTGACTACGACCTCAGATTAGTGACAGCGATGAGCATTTACGACAACGACAAGTATTCACCAATTGTGCAGAAATATGGCACTAGATTGGCAAAGTGGATGCTTCAGGATCTCATGAAAATCGCCATGCTCAACCCAGTAGAAGAAAATGTTAGAATACTAGGAAGTGATGATGTCATTAGGTGAAGGGGGGGTACAAGAAGAATGTCGAGAGAAATATTGTACCCCCTAGTGCTAACCCCCATACAGCCTAGATAACCTAAACATGCATATATTGTTTGACACACCCCCATAGGCGAAATGGGGGATAGCCAGAGCAAGCAAAGGTCACAAGACCAGACAAGAGAAGAAACAAAACACAGCTCAGGGTGGATCACAAAGTCACCACACACTCTGAGCACAAGTAAGAGGCCACAAGGCCAGTTCACATGCAGAGATGTATATGCAGCAAAGCACAGTGATCACTACCTAACAAGAGCAAGCATGCAGGTATATATGTATAGATCACAGTACAAGCAAAGTCTACAGCAAGTGAGAAAACGTGGGCACAAGGCCTGGTCCCGGACTGGTCGGCACCTGGCCACGTTCACCCGTGAGCCTGGCTCGAGTCTGTACACACTGACCACTGTGTCCCCTTAGGTAGCTGCGTCTGCGTCTGCGTCAGGTCAGCTAGCGGCCCCCTGCTCGTGTCGCGCTCTGTCGCACCATACCCTCCTTTGGCACCACCGCCTTGGTCACCCCTCGGTGCAGCGCCTTCGTAGCATGCACCGCCGTTTCCTTGTTTCTGGACTTCCAGAGACTCTGCCTCCTCTACCACCCTCGCCTGCTCCTCCCTGTCTTCCCTGTGTCGAGGGGCGGCAGCGCGCCGCTCCTCACTCCTCCTCGTTCCCTCCCACAGAGGCTCCCCTGCAGACTCTACACCTGGACGTGTGGGGCCCAGCCCGCGTCCGTGGACAGGGCCACGAGCGGTACTTCCTGCTGGTCGTCGACGACTACACGCGTTACACCACGGTCTTCCCCTTGCGCAGCAAGGGGGAGGTCCCTGATGTTTTGATCCCCTGGATCCGCGCTGTTCGTCTCCAGCTCCGCGAGCGGTTCCAGTCGGACTTTCCAGTCCTGCGTCTGCACTCTGACAGAGGTGGTGAGTTCTCCTCAGACCTCTTGGCAACCTACTGTGCGGAGCACGGCATCCGCCAGACGTTCACGCTTCCGGCCTCTCCGCAGCAAAATGGGGTTGCTGAGCGCCGCATTGGCTTAGTCATGGAGGTCGCTCGTACCTCCATGATCCATGC